GGAAAAATGTTGGATGTTCCTGAAGTTAGATGGATTAGTAATGGGCTCTTAGTTGGTCTGTTAGAAAGGTACAAGTTACCAAAGCAAGGAATAACTGGATGTAAAGAAATGAAGTTCAAAATAAAGGGGAGAAAAGTCGTGTTCACAAAGCCAGAGTTTGAACTTATCACAGGATTAAGAAGCGGAGGGAATAGGATAACTTTGAATGATGAAAGGTTGGGTGACTTCGGGTTAAGGTATTTCAATATGGGAAAATCTGTTCAGCGATGTCATATTACGGATGCACTGGTGCAACACAACAGAGATGACCCCGGAGTAGAAACTGATGATGTTGTAAAGCTAGCATTGCTACATCTGTTGGGCAATGTTATGTTTGGGCACCAGTCATGTGTTAGTTTTCCTATTGGATACATTAACCTAGTAGATGATTTGGATGCATTCGATAAATTCCCATGGGGTGAAGTCATATGGGAAGAGTTGTTAACACATGCTGGGAGATGTGCACAATCCATTAAAGCTCGTGGAAGGGGAAGAGTGACATTTGGAGGGTTTGTCTTTGCCTTACAGGTATGGGCATTTGAGAAATTTCCTTCCTTGAGAGAGTCGGGGCATTGTCAAATTGTGAAAGGAAGAGAAGATTGGATTCCACGTTGCCTAAGGTGGGAGATTTATGCAAAGATTTCAACACAGTTTCTTCATGAAGCCATATTTGAAAATCCAGAGGTTCGTATTCTATGAAATTCTCTTTTAATGAGAATATGTAGTAAATCTGAATTATATTAACATTTTTTTATTGTTTTACACAGTTTGAAGTGTCAAAGATTGTTCCAAGTGAGAGGGAGTTAAATGATCCTTCATTGGCATTATTTGCTAATGAATACATAAGAAGGGGGATAGATGACACTGTGCAACATATTGAGAGCTCAGAAAAGGCTGCAACTGTAGAAGAAATCTGAGTGTTGGTAGTGCTAAGAAAAGGAAACTTTCAACAACTGGAAATGCCCAAAACAAGCCAAAAGAGAAGAGAAAGAGAACTATTCACAGTATGAAAGGGGAATTTCTTCCAAAAATAAAATCAAAGAGGAAGAAGGAGAGTCAGAGTCAGATTATAACAATTCTCAATGACATGAAAAAAATGCAGGAAAGCCAAGGGAAAGTGCTGAAGATGATCCTTGAGCAGTTAGAAAGAAAAAAGGGAGATGATACAGAGGAGAGGGGTTTTAAAAAGATAGATGATGAAATTGTCAATGAGAATGTTGAGAGTGAAGACATGGAAAATAAAAACATGGGGAAGGATACTATTTTGGAAGAAGATGGCACTGACCATGGAGATGTGGGAAAGGATGGCACTTCCAGACATGATGACAATGA